TAGGGCTCTTCGAAGGGGAAGAAGGAATGGGAACATGGAAAGGAGAAGAAGGCACTGGGGACAACACCAAGAAGATTAGGAACGAGCAGGACAGGAGGGGAAAGATGTACGGGTGGACGCATCAGGGGGTTTACTCCTCTCCCTCCCCCCTGCCCCTGGTTCTGGGCGTGGGAAGGGCGCGACCAATAGTTGAGCAGGGACCGACCGTCCCGGCATTCCTATCATCCTACCACGAAATGTTCTTAGAACCCCAAAATGTTCTACGAACAAAAACAATGTTCTTAGAACATAAGCCCGATGTGATAAAACAAGACAGACTCCGCCAGAAATGTTCTAAGAACATTCCGTGGAAACCGCAAAAGGTTCTTAGCACATTGTTTGGTGGGGCTATAGGCGAGCCAGGACGCTTCGCCACTGCTTGAAGTAAGAACGTCCAAGATGGCTAAATCTGGCTCCAAGGTGGCTCTAGAGAGCCAAAGGTGGCCTCCGAGATAGCGCAAGCGTAGGGAAACCAACAGGTACCGATACTGCTACTGCCCAAACCTCTCCTGGGGTGCGTTCTGACCAAGATTTCGAGGCGAATACGGCGGCGGCGACGGGGCCTTCCCAGGAGGTCCCAAAAAGGGGAAACGAGGGAAGGGTAGAGGTATGGGTACCTTATCCTTCTCCAAAAAATATACGAGGATGGCTCCAGATGGTCTCCGAAATGCTTACCGTGCGCCCTTAGACCCCTCCCCGAGGCTCCAAGTGGCCACGGAGCCTCGCAAGGATGGCCCCCGAGATGCCCAGAGCCGTCCAAGACCGAAGGTGAACCACCGAGTGCTGCATTCTCGCCTTTTTTTTCATTCCAGTGGGCTACGGAGACTTCAACATGGCCCAAAACCCCAAGAATGGCCACTCCTCCTCTTCCTCCTTCTCCTCCTCCGCCTCCTCTTCCTCCTCCTCCTGAACAGGGCCGAATACTAGAGGGCAGAACATCCCCCCCCAAAATCCGCCGGCCCCCTTGTGGGGCCATCCGGCTGGGAGGGTGAGGGTTGCAGTGCCATGCGCCAGTTCCGGTTTCCAGTCTCAACTGTTACAGTCCTGCTTTCTGCTTCCTACTGTGACTGGATGAATTCCGCACGAGGGGGGGAGCTGCCACCCGGGATCGCGTGGCCTACATTCCTACGGGGCCGTGGGACACAAGAAAATACGTGAGATTCGTGCTCCCGGCGCAATAATCACTCGTAAATTGAGCTGTGCTCGCGCCCCCGAGGCCACGATCCCTTGTAAATTGCGCCTCGTTCGCGCACCCGAGGCCACGATCTCCCGTAAATGACGCCACGTTCGCGCCTCTGTGGCTACGACCCCTCGTAAAGTACGCCACGCTGTCGCCCCCGAAGATTACGCCACGTTCGCGCCCACGAGGCCACGATCCCTCGTACATTACACCACGCTCGCGCCCCCGAGGCCACGACCCCGTGTAAATTACGCCGCATTCGCGCCCCCGAGGCCACGATCCCTTGCAAAGTAAGCCACCGTCGCGCCCCCGAGGCCACGATCCCTGCTAAATTCCGCCACCCTCGCGCCCCCCGATCCCTCGTAAATTACACAATGGTTGAGCCCCGAGGCCAGTAACCTTAGCAAAATATCAAATTTTCGCGCCCACGAGGCAAATAAGCTTTGCAAATTACACGATTCTGCCATCCCCGAGGCAACACACCCTAACAAATTACGGTATATTCGCGTCCCCGAAGCTACGAACCCATGTAAATTGCCCAGTGTTTGCGCCTCCGAGGCAACAACCCCTGGTCAATTATTTCAGTTGTGCGTCCCCGAGCGGCAAACCCTGGTAAGTTACATAAGATTCGCGCCCCCGAGGCCACAAACCCATGCAAATTGCTAAATAGTCGCGTCAATGAAGCCAGAATCCCAAATCGAATGTTCAATAGTCGCGTCCCCGAGAAAACATCGCAAATGGCTAAGTAGTCGCGTCCCCCGAAATCAGAATCCCAAGTAAAATATACAATATTCGCGTCCCCGAGGCCACAAACCCTTGCAAATTGCTATTCTTGCGTCCCCGAGGCAACAAATCTGGTAAATCATTCCATATGCGCGTCCACGTGGCCATAACAAAGTACGCCGTATTCGTATTGCCGATGCCAAGCTCCAAGGCGCCCGAAGGTGGTCCCAAGACGGCCCAAGAGGGCCCCAAGAGAGCCCCCATAGGTTTTTGAAGGAGTTTTGGGTTATCGCATTTTCGGCATTCCGACGCTCCAAGGTGGCTCAAGAAGCTCCCAAGACCGCCCCAAGGCAGCCCAAGACGCCTCCAAGAGGGCCCCAAGACGGCCCGAGAGGGCCCCAAGATGGCCCAAGAATCGCTCCGAGAAGCCCCGAGAAGCCCCCAAGAGGCCCCAAGAGGCCTCGAGAGGCGCCCAAGACGCGCCAAAGAGGCCTCCACGATGCCCAAAAGATACCCCACGAGGCCCCGAGAGGCCCCCAAAGGCACCGAAACCGCATCCAAGAGGCCTCTGAGATGCTCCCCACTACACCCCAAAACATATACAAGAGGCCTCAGACCCACAGCCCAGACACCCTGGCGGGATGGGCCGAAGGCCACTAGGATCCGCCGCCCCCTGTCGATTCATCGCAGGGGATGCCTGGCGTCCCACAAGAACTCGCCCGTCCCGCCGGGGTCCCGGGAAGGATCTCAAAACGCGTCCGTCGACGCCTTCGTTGACCCACGGTGGCCCCCGATGGCCTCCAGGACGGCCAGGATGGCCTCCAGGATGGCCCAAGATGGCCTCCAAGACGGCCTGGATGGCCTGGGATGGCCTCCAAGATGGCCTCCAAGTCCGCCCAAGGTCCAAGACGGCCTCAGAGAGTCCAAGACGGCCCAAGACGGCCCAAGAGGCCCCCCAGAGGCCTCCAAGTCGGCCCGAGAGGCCTCCAAGAGGGCCTCCAGGAGGACCCGAAGGGGCCAGCATCACTGATTTCCCAATAGGTTTCTGAATGATGTTGGCATTCGCTCCTTCGCGGCTTTCCAACGACCCAAGTCGGCCCAAGAGGCCCCCAAAAACATTTGCTCCAGGAGGCCTCCAGAATGGCCCCAGAACGGCCCAAGAGGCCCCCAGGACGGCCCCAAGAGGCCCCCAAGACGGGCCAGGAAGCGTTTATGACTACCTACCAGACCACCCCAACCCAACCCGAAGACCCGAATTTCGGGTTGGGGGGTATGGGCTCCATATGTGTTTTTTCGATGTTCCCAGACCCCCCCCCACTAGAAATCGAGGGTAAATCTGAGCCTTCGGGTTGGGTTGGGGTGGTTTGGTGGGTGGTGAGTTTAAGACGCCCAAGATGGCCTCCAAGACGGCCCTGGAGCATTCCAAGAGGGCCCTAAGTCGGCTCCGAGAGGCCCCCAAAAAACTGCCTCCGGCGTCGGACGGGCCAGGGGCCCACCAAGACCCCCGAAGATGGCACTACGATGGCCCAAGATGGCCCAAGAGCCTCCTCCTCCTCCTTCTCCTCCTCCTCCTCCTCCTCCTCCTCCTCCAAGAGGGCCTCCAGGAAGGCCCGAAAATGCCCAAATCACTGATTCCCCCATGAGTATTCGAGGATTGTGGCATCTGCTTTGGTTCGGCCTTCCGACGGCCCGAGACGGGCCAAGTGCCCTCAAAGATCCTCCAAGAGGCCCAAGACCGCCCCAAGAGGCCTCCAAGACGGCCCAGGAGGCCTCCAAGACGCTCAAGAGGGCCTCCAAGACTGCCCAAGAGCCCCCCAAGACGTCCTCCAAGAAGGCCCGAAAGGGTCAAAATAGCCTCCAGGCGGCCAAGATGACCTTCAAGATGCCCACGGTGTTCCCCGAAGGCTTTCCAAACCGACTCGGGGAACACATGGTCCGACTGCTTGGCAGGTCTGGCCTCAACGTTCGGCCACATAGGTGCTTCCAACAAGGCAGGGGGCGGCGGTGTTTCGCCGTAGGCGTCTTCGATGACGACAACGTCTTAATCTGTGCTGATGATTCCAATCCGCCCCCGCATGATGTTCGCAGATACGCCAAGGCAGCGCCGAGACGCACCGACGCGACTCTGATATAGCCCATTATGATGGAAAGGGGGCGGGCGGTAAGGGGCGAAGCCCTTGCGGATAAACCACCCCGACTAGCGAAGCCGTTGCGTAGACGCACCCAAGGAAGGAACCGGACAGCGCAAGGCTTTCCAAGCAAGGCCCAAGGCCTTCTGGTAAACGTCAAGTGTCGGGTCTGGGCGGTGTTCCTCCCTTGAGGTATGGCCCCAACGACGGCCCCGAGAGCGCCCCAGCGGGTTACGGCTGGGGCTCAAGTCAAGAGGGGTGGGGTGGGGTGGGGGGGCAACCCTGACTAAGGACACCCCTTCTTTGATCGATGTCCTCCAAGATGGTCTTACAAGGCCCCCGAGAGGGCCCCAAGGGAGGCCCAACGGTCTTCAACATGGCCCACGAATTGCCCAGGTGAGCTGCTAAGGGGCTCCCATATCAGAAGATCCGCGAAGGCGCTCATGACTGACTGCTAAGCCTGCTCAGGCCGATCCCGATCTTCGCTTCGACGGCTCTTCCCCCCTCTCGTTGCTCCACTGGTTGCTCACGCACCTGCCTGATCAGGTCAGGCCCGCGCGCAACGCAGGGAGGTCGCTTGGACCGTCACCAATGCGGCCGCATGTGACGGCGGAGCCGTCACTCCTGAGCAACACAAGTAGAGAGCAGAACATCCACCCCCATAGTAAGCACCCCGAAAGGCGAAGCCGTTTAGTGAACGCACCGATGGAAGGAATGGAACAGGGCAGGGCTGTTTAGTAAACGCCAAGGGCTGTTTAGTAAAGGCGGGGCCCCGCCGAGGAGGAGGAGGAGGAGGAGGAGGAGGAGGAGGAGGAGGAGGAGGAGGAGGAGGAGGGGGGAGGGGGAGGAGGAGGAGGGGGGGGAGGAGGAGGGGGGAGGGGGGAGGGGAGGATGAGGGTGAGGGGAGGGGGAGGCGGAGGGGAAGGGGGAGGGGGAGGAGGAGGAGGAGGAGGAGGAGGAGGAGGAGGAGGAGGGGGAGGGGTCGGGGTGATTTTTCTACCCTTGAACAAGGTGGGAAAGCCGACCGACAACCTGCGTACAGTCGGGCTGCTGACATAACGAACGCTAATCTGATGAACGAAGCCCCCTCTGCGGCTTCAGAAACGCCTGGGCGCACGAGAAGGGCTGGAGGAGCAACCGCGGCAGGACGCAAGGAACATCTCGAGCCCCTTCCGAACCCAAACTGTTCCTTGCTTCGGCGTCTTGGCTGTACGGGGGATCGCCGCGGCAAAGCGCCATGGCTTGAGCCAGAGAGGTTCCAGCGCCGAGATTCCCACGGGCTGGGCCGTGCGTGCCGGGCCGAGGGGCGCTGCCCTGCCCGGTCCCTTCCCCGAGGCGGGGACACCGCAGACGACCAAACCCCGCGTAGAGTCGGACCTTGATTGCGCACAGGGCAGTTTTTAATACATTGGATGTTTAAACATATAGGATTTGTAATACATGATTAATTCATGAATGCATTTATGCGCGAACTCATCGTTGTTTTTAATACTAGATCCCTGCATGTTCAATACATGATCCGCACGCGGCGCATGTATCAAAAACGGCACTGTACAGTCGGACAGGATGGGCCGAAGGCCGCTAGATCCGCCGCCCCGTGCCGCTTGCCACATGGGGAGCACGGCGTGCAAAACTTCTGAATGGTGATTTTTTTGTAAGCGGTTCCTCGCCATCGCTCGGACGTTCATTTTTTGTGTGTTTTTTTCGGTTTCGCGCGTGTTTTTTTCGCCAAATGGTCAAGGATGCTCCTCGATGGTCCTCGCCGAAGGAAAAACGCACACGTCCGAGCGATGCCAAGGTTCCCTGTGGGGGTCGCGACCGATCGCGCCGGCCACGCAAACAGTTCATTTCCCGTCGGCCTTCTCCCCCGAAGACGACCCCAAGATGGCCTCCAATAGAGGCCTCCTAGATGGGGTCCGAGTAGATGGGGTCGAAGGATCGCGCCGCATCGCTGGTGCATCGCCGATGTCGGCAATGCATGGGAGACGCCAGCGCGGAGAAAGTCGGGCTCCGCATCGAGTCGCATCGCCGATGCATCGGCGATGCGGCACGATCCTTCGACCCCATCTACTCCAGTCCCATCTGGGAGGCCTAGATCCAATACGGTTAAGATTACAGTCGGACTTGATTGGAGAGGCCACGCGAGAGGACACAGGACCCTTCCGACGGCCACATCGCCGTAGGAATGCGGGAGGCACGGGTCGCGAGGCACCGGACACGAGGGTACCCTTGTCTTGGCAGGGTCGACCTACTAATCCGGGCCGCCTGCAACGGAGGTGTGAAACGCGCGCAGGCTCTTCTGCTGCGCCCCACCGAACCCTCCACGAAACCCCGAAAAGACTTCGGAGATGCTCCACCAAACAAAAGTGAACTCCACAACAGACCCCCCCGACGACCCGAGAAAGTCACCCAAGACATTCATTGTAATGAAAGGGGTTGGCGGATGTGGCGCACACCTGTAGAACACAGACAGCATGATAACAAACAGAGCGGACCTAAAGACGCTGCGAACAGTTATGGGCGAAACAAAAACGACTCATGTATATTTTGATGGAATCGCTTTTCTTGGTGGCTGGAGGCCATGAACCCATGTTGCGGGGCAAGGCAGGTCAAGGGAGCCGGAGGTCGGTCCCAGCTTGTGCCTGTCACCAACTTGTACACGTGCGTGCGGCCGTTGTGATGGCAGCTGTGCCGAGGCGTATCTGCCCACGCCTCGTTGGGCGTCGCGTGCATGTTCTGCCTCTTGGGCCTGCGACTGCGGGGGTCTCCCCTGTCAGTCCCCATCCTGCCAGCATGAGCCACGACCAGCCCGTGCCGACGCCTTGGTGGCCTCCACTCGGTCGTCCTCGAACTTACTCTTCAGCTCTTTCAGCAACTCTACAACGTTGCCTGCACACGGGCAGGCGCTGGCCGCCTCGTTTCACCTGCGTCCAGCTCCCTCCCTGGCCCCCAGCCCTGCTCAATGATCTCACCCACCTCACTGCACACGATTCTGGGAATGACCACGTACTCGTCTCCTGGCATCGCTACACCCGTCTTTCACTCCACCTCCTCCTCCAACTCCTCCGCCAACTCCTCCTTTTTCTCCAAATCCTCCTCCTCCTCCAACTCCTCTTCCTCCTCCTAATCCTCCATCAGTCCTCACTCCTCCTCCTCCTCCTCCTTCTCCTCCTCCAACTCCTTCTCCTCCTCCTCCTCCTCCTCCTCCTCCTCCTCCTCCTCCTTCTTGCTCCCCTCCCCAAAAGAGCGGCAGCAAGATCGGAGGCATGACCAGACACGTGAAGGGCGCCAGAGCAATCCCGCGAGGAGGGGGACGACGAGAGGGTCGAGAGCACGAGGGCGGCGAGGCATGGGGAGGGGCTGAAGGGATGAGAGGATGGGAGGGACGCGGCGCGACACGCACGCCGGAGCCGTGCGCGCTCCCCTGGGTAGCCCGCCCGTGTCCATGTTAGGGCATGGCAGCGGCCTCAACTGTGAAACGTAAAACGGACTCACATCTCGAGCCTTCCGGGCCTCTGCGGGCCTCTGTGGAGCCCGCTATCGGTCTCGGGGGCCACCTTGGGGGGAGGGGCTCGAAATGCTAGGTCGTGTCCCCCCTTCTGGGCCCCCTCTTTGGGTCCATCTTGGAGACCCTACACGCAAGAGTGACCCTGGGTAAGAGTGACCTCTGGTGCGCGGCTTCTTGGGGGCCGCGGGGGGACGAAACACGAGCGCGCAAAACGCTACTACAGCATCGCGTTCGGCGGTCGGGGGACCCCGTTGGGCCCGCACCAAAGGTCACTCCGGCGAAAGGTCACTCTTACGTGTAGCCGATCACATGATAAAAACCACAGCTCAGAATTCCCGGCCGCTGATAACCACCGCAAGGCGTTCGTGTTGCTGTGCTGATGTTGTCGCGGGTGGGTCGGTGCTAAAATTTGCTCCTGCCCAGCGTCGGCGGCGCCAAGGCGCCCGTGAGGAGGTATGGGGGGCGGATGCCCAGTGAGGATGTGAAGGGGCGGATGCGGCAAGAAAGGGAGGAAGAGGAGGCGGAGCAGGTGGACAGGGCGTGCGGAACGGGACGGAACGTCGGAGGCCAGAGGAGGAGGACGTGAGGAAGAGGAGCGGAGGGGAAGACTGGAAGACAGGGAGGACGAGAAGGGGTGGCAGGCAAGGGGTATGAGAAGTGCAGGGTCGGCTGGGGAGGTGGGGCAGTGGAGGGGCCGCACGCTGCGAAGCGGGAGGGAAGGACGAGGAGGATCGGATGGGGAGAACTAGAAGATGGGACAGGCACGGGTCTCTCTCTGTCTCCTTCCTTTTCTCTCCCTCTCTCTCTCTCTCTTTTCGGCGGTGGACAAACCTCCCTTTAGTAGACCTCCCCTTAGTGAAAACGGCCTGGGACCGAAACCGACGGACCTGGACCCGCAAAAATGACGGCCGCGACGCCCTCTCGCGAACCGAAAACGGCCAATTCCTTAATCGACGTGTCAGGGTAGGAGGTCTGTCCACGCCCGATCTTTCACTCTCTCTCTCTCTCTCTCTCTTCCCATTCAGGCAAGCCTTCAAGAGCTTCGAGCACAGGTGGCCCTGGGCTGGGGGAGATCGCTTCGGAAGGTCCCCCCCCCGTGCCGGTGCCCGCGGCCGGTGCCCGCGTGCCGGTGCCCGCGGCCCGGGGCCGGAGCGGGGGGGTGCAGCACGAGGCCGCAGGGCCGGTGGCGGGCAGGGGGGGGCACGATAGGGGGCGAGGCAGAGGGAGGGCGCGCGGACTGTGGAGCGGGAGGGCGGAGGGGAGGGAAGAAGGGAGATGTTGGAGGCCTGCAAATTGGCACCAACACCAGCACAGGGGTTTGCCTCCACCAGGAGACGATGATCTTAGATTTCGGTGTTGGTGGTAATATTTCGGTCACCTTGGAAGCCAGAATATTACCACCATCACCGAGATCGGGATCGTCTTCCCTCGGTGGAGGAACACCGCCGATCTTGGTGTTGGTGTCCATCTCTAGGACTCCGAAGATGGGAATGGTGTGAGGGGAGCGGGAAGGGGTGACTTACCCCCCCTCCCCATGGCTCCCCTTCTTGCCCCTGCTTCTCCTCCCTCCTCCCCTCCCGCCCTCCTCCCTCACGACGCCAGCCCCGAGGCGCCTGACTTGAAGTTGTACGTCTTCTGGTGCTGCGCGGCGTTGCCTGCCGCGAGGATGTCCGCGGGCACCTCGCCCTGGCAGCGGAGGCCATGGACGGAGGAGGCCAGCCAGAACACAAAAGACGAGGACGTATGTTCATACCAGTAGGATGAGGAAGCACCAAAGAGGATGAGCGAGAGGTTCACGAAACGGATGATGATAAGGACAGGGCCGAATATTGTAATCACTGCCTCCGCCACTGTTTCCGTTCCAACTGTAACGAACACGTTCGATTATCAAATCACTGGAGAACCACCTCGTTCAATAATTGTGAAGTTTTCGCGACACCCCTGAATTTCCCGACACACCTTAAACCCTGAAAGTCACGATCACCAGAAACTAACGGCAGGGTTGGCCACATTCGAACTGTTCGATATAATGTAAGATGGAGCTGCGTTGAACACCAACGGTCCAGTTGAAACACCAATATACAATCCGACGATAAAGCGTCTGTATTCCGAATAGTTTCAACAATGAGCCATGCATTGTGGGGGAAGAGCGAATTCACCTTCGCGGAACGGTTGCTGCTCGCTGCAATCACTGCCTTTGGCATGAAGGTTTGGGCCTTATGGTGCAGGGGGTGCGACGGATCACAGCGCTCTGATGGTGTGGTTGTGCGGGTCTGATTCAGCACCTTGGCAACATGGTATACTCTAACTTACTCTGCGGGCATCGATTCGAATACCCATCCGGATGCAATGCTTCATTCGAGGAAACCTATTGGGATGCACACTGGGCACACATTGGACTGCTGATCGGGATACGTTGGGACGCCTATTTGATTTCATGGGCGCACTTCATCGTGCGAGGGCGCATTTTGGCCCGGGAGGAGCACTATGATACCGTTCTCCGAGATCAAACAAACTCTCACCGTGCTAGGCTATGCGGTAAAACTCGCTTGATCAAGCAACAACGGAACACACTCTAAGCAGACGACTGCAGGCAAGCTGTATCCGATAATACTACACAGCGATACAGGACTTAACTGTGTGAACGATTAACATAAAAACAACGCTGTATTAGTATGTTACAGTATGTTGTATGTGGGTGGGTGCTGCGTAAATGCGGTCAGCATCAACCAATATCAATGATCTGGTGTGATCTGCTCGGGTGTCTTCTGAATTCCGGTGCTTGGCGGTCCGTTGCCGAAGTGTGTTATTATTTCTATTGCGACGGACTGTGCTGTGTCGCATTGGTTTTGCATGTCCTTGCAATGGCTTGTGCTACACCAACATGGGGTGTTGCTATTTGGCCCGCCGCTTTTCGCATTTGCGTTCAATGGCCGTGGCGTGATGCTATGTGCATATGGTGTCACTGTGTTGTTTGGCGCATTGTCCGTGCATGCTTGCCCAGCGCGTTGCATTGACACATGTCTAGTTGATATTGTTGGGACTGCCTGTCGTTGCAACGTATTGATTCACATTGTATCTTACCAGTTTGCATCATATTGCGCTCCCAATGCTTCGCAATGAGCTCAAATACCCAGCTTTCGAGACAGGAGCACATCCTCGAATAATGGAGGGGTAACATCCTTCAAGAACTGAGGGAAAGGCATTCACATCATACTGCGACCATGATCCTTCGGCAAACGCAATCTTCGCCTAGAACGTATGCAAACAGATGCTGCCAAAGTACGCTAGGCTTATCGTCGGGAGTCCCACGAGGGCCAAACTGTTTCCGCCTAGCACATCGCGACTGCCGGGAGGACAACGACCTACCCCACGATGGTGAGAGCTCCATGCGACGCTTCAGGAGACATTCCTATGCGATGAGACCCTCGATGGCAATCGCGATTGATTTCTTTAACGGTGGTCACGCTGGGCTCCGCCCGAGAATCATTGGGAAACAAATGCATTGATGTACAAGACGGCCTCGATCCGTACTTCGTTGCAGGCCGCTGTGCATCCCGGATTGCATGACAGCCTTCAATGCTTTTGTTGCTGGAGGCGTCTTGGACGGTGGTGCGACCTCATAGAGCCAAGTTGGATATATGATACTGCCGAACATGTGGTGTTAATGCCTCAGGGGCGAAATACCTATGTGATACTTCCTCAGGGGCGAAATACCACCAGCTGTGGTTTGAGGGCGCGCCTACACCATTGTCATTGGGTGGTCTTATGCCCGTTGTTTACAGCAACAAGTGCCGTGCTTTTATTGGGCGGCAGAGTTTACATCAGACCCAGTCAAACATAGTTAACTGGCGGTGCCAACTCCAACTGGAGGTATCCCGCCAATACCCACGCTTAGATTTTAGTGACTGGACGTTCGCGAATTCCTCCTAGGCAAGCAATGCGTGCATACTGCTGCTACACGGACACGGCACACCTACGGCACCAGAGCGGTGCAGCGAACCCTTACTGGCTGCGCAGGTCTCAGCCTCGAGGCATTCTGGGACGTGCGCAATACTCCACTCGCATTCGATTAGGCGGCCTCCGTTCGTGGTCAATCACAGCGTGACGGGCTCGCCCTTTGTCAGGTGGTGTTCTTCCTCCCCCTCCTTCCCCTCCTCCTCCTCCTCCTCCTCCTCCTCCTCCTCCTCCTCCTCCCCTCCCCTGTTCCTCTGGTGTTGGATTTTTTTTTGTATTGGCCGCTTGCGGCCGCTGGTCTCTGCACAACACCGCCCCCCGTTCCCACCGGCCAGGGCACGCTGGGGAGCACGGCCCACGCGCAACGGAGCGGCACCCTCTGGGAGCCCACGGGAGAGCGTGTGCTCCTCTCGGGTCGGGCGAAAGGGGGGGACAGCAAAGGGGGGGGGTGAGAATCAGCTCACGTAGCCGATTCTCCCGGCGCCTCCTGGCGCCCAGGTATCGAGGAAGGGGCCCCTCGGCGGGGCCGAGACCAGCTGCATGCAGCAGATTTCGTAGCCCCCCCTTTCCCAATCCCCCCCCTTTCGCCTGCCCCGATCCTCCTTCGCTGCCTCCTCCCGCACGGGGCGCGGCCGCGGCGCGCCGCGGGATCTTCCCGCGCGGACGCGGCCTGCTCCAGCAGCGCCTGGGGGCCCAGAGAGAGAGAGAGAGAGAGAGAGACAGCACCGCGGCCTGCTGCCCTCGCCGCGGGTGCAGGCAGAACAGGGAGGCAGCAAGCGAGGGCCGCCGCGTCAGAGGAGGGAGAAGGGAGGAGGGAGGAGGGAGGAGGGAGGAGGAGGAGGAGGAGGAGGGGGAGGAGGAGGAGGAGGAGCAGGAGGAAGAGGAAGAGGAGGAGGAAGAGGAGGAGGAGGAGGATGAGGAGGATGAGGAGGATGAGGAGGATGGCGGCCCTGTGCAATCCCATTCCACACCCTGTCAAACAAATGCCCGCCCCTGACTTCGAGGCGGCAATCTGGCTGACACTCGACGGCACCTGGCTCTCTCCACTACGCACTCCGTCTGATTCGAACAATCGAAATCAAGAGACATAGGCGCAATGGCTCTTGCACGCGGAGGAGGAAGGAGGACAGCATGCAGAGAAGCAGAAGCAGCATCAATAGAGGGGGCAAGAAAGGATGGAGGAATTGAAATTTGAAGAAGGGGTCAAGGAACAAGGGGAGACGGGCGACGGGGGACAGACGCGGAGAAAGATGACAACTTGGCACACACTGCGCGCAACCAACTCGACGGGAAGCCGCAAACGACAGATACTACGTCGGAAACCGCACACATCCTCTTGGGGGGTCGGTGGCATGGCGTAAGCCTCTTGAGTCAAGAACTCGGGCAACAACAGGGCACCAGCCCGCTGGGAAATCTGACGGGGGGGGAGGAGCTTAGTGGGCCCCGGAAACGGCAGGGCCGTTTTTTCCACCGTTTCCAAAAAATGTCCCTTGAAAATGGAAACGGCAAAAAAACGGCGATTGGAAACTGCAAAAAAACGGCTCCAGGACTGGAACCGGAGCCGGAACCGGTCAAACAACGGCGACGGAACCGGTAAAAAAACGGCGTCGGAACCGGCAAAACAAACGGCAAAACGGAACCGGTAAAAAAACGGCCCTGTCGTTTCCAGGGCCCACAAAGGGGAGGAGGGCAACAAGCAGGGTGCCGCGCCATGCGTGAAGCTGTCGGGGCGGAGGGCCCGAGGCCCCGTGCCGTTAAAAGAGCGCGGAAGGAGCCGGTCGGGGCGGAGGGGGGGCGCGGGCCTGCTGTTACCAGCCTCGAACGGATCCCTATCCCCAAGATTGGCACGGCAAAGAGGCGATGACAATCTCAGGGGTTCGCCTTCCAAAAAAAAAGGGGCTCCCCAAGATTGGCATCGTGATGAGGAGGTGCCCAGCACAGGGACAGGGATACATGTTCCAGGCTGGTCATGCCGGGAAGGACGAGGTGGGAAAAGGGTGCGGGGGAGGTGCCGCGCAGTGCGCGCGTGCTCGAGGAGGAGGGGCGGGGCGGAGGCGGTGCGGGCCGACCGAGGGGGGGGGCGCGGAGACGGGGGGGGGCTGGCCGCGCCGTGCGCGCGCGGGGGATGAGAGGGTTTTGGGCGGGGGCGGTCCGGGCCTGCCGGGGAAGACCGTGCTGCGCGTGCAGAGTGAAGAAGCCGGGGCTCCAGGCACACACACACACACACACGCACACACACACACACACACGCACACACACACACACACACGCACACACACACACACACACACGCACACACACACACACACACGCACGCACACACACACACACACACACGATGCAAAATAACGTACGGCCTAAGCCATGCGCAGGGTTTGCAGACTTGGTCTCGCCGCGACTCGGACTACGATGCCACGTGCTTTGCCGTGCTTGACAGGGTGAAGAAGCGTACGCCAGAACTGACCCAGCCTAGAATGCAAGGTAACGGTTCTCAGGCGATAGGGCCTGGGGATTAATATTCATGCAGGGGAAGCGTAAACCGAAACTCCTGTAAAGGGTTTGCCCAAACAATCATCTGTAGACGACACATGGATTCGGCCGAACCTGCCAATTCCGCCAGTGCAGACGGATCGGCTATGCATGGGAAGTCGCCTGGTGGGGGAAGAATCAAGCAGATTTTCCCATCCGCGAGCATGGGGTATCCAAGTGTCAAAAAAAATGACGCCCCAAGCCGACGATTCAGTGGAACAGAATGTACCCAAAAACACGCACGCCTCCTACCTATTTTCTCGATGAGGCACCCTGCCAAGCCATAATTCCACCATGCAGTCCTCAAGGTGCAGTAGCGGTTGGCGTTACAACGAGTGGTAATCGCCAGCCTGCGAGTTATGCTGTCAATGGAGGAGGGTTGGCTCCCAGTTCCATCTGCCCTCCATTAACCAAGAACATATACGAAGCCGAATGGAATCAAACGCAGGGTACCATGTTGGAAAGGTGCCACATGGCAGGGCGTGGCACGGCATGGGATGACAACAACTGGGGCGACGCAAACCGCTGCAAAGCAGCGCACAGCAAGGAAAAAGACAGAAAGCATGCCAGTACGACTGCATCTCCTCCTCTCTCCCCTGCTCCCCCGACGAAGAAGGGCGGAAAAGTAGGAGAGAGGAGGAGGAGAGAGGAGGAGGAATAGGAGGAGGAGGAGGAGGAGGAGGAGGCTTAGACAAAAAAGGGAGGAGGGAGCAGGAGGAGGAGGGAGGGGGCAGGAGGGAGCATGGAGGAGGAAGAGGAGGAGGAGGGATATGAGAGGAGATGCCCGCCCCCTCGAGGGTTTGGGGTTTGGGGAGGCCCTGCCGGAGGATTGCTGGTGAGATAACAAAGGGAGACCGCTACTGCAATACGGTGGACTGTAGGCCACAGATAACCTCCACAGAAACTCGGACCCCGAATCCGCGGGATTGCGATGGATTCGGGGGCTGGGGGCTCTCGCGCTCCCATCGGTGAGAGCCAAGAAGCCCAGAGCACAAGCGGTTTCTTAACGAGCGTCCCCTCTGTCCGCCCTGGACCTCTTCCGGGGCACATCCACGACAAGGATTTCGAGGTGCACGGCGACAGCACACGTGAAAACCGACCGAACTGAGAGCGAAACTGCAACCGACCGAGACCGATAGGCCGCAAGCAGCCTAGGTGGACGACGGGACAACCACGGCACGACAACCGACCGAACCGAACCGGCCGATCGCAACCCACTGCGACGCAGCCAAGCCAACCGAACCTGAGACACACTTGCGAATCCAGCTGTGGCGGCGTGCGACGCGGGATACCATTACCTTCGCCTCCTCTGATATAGAGAGGAGGAGCAGCAGCAGCAGAAGCAGGACTGAAGGGTAACGCTAGGGGGAAAACAGCTCAGAGGGGGAAACGTAGACCTGGCGATACGTCGCCATTGGATCGGTGATAGGCCCCGATGACGAATCCCCACGTCCTCGGGCGGAGGGCACCATCGGGCCCCGATCGGCGCTAGAGGAGGAGCAGGAGGAGGAGGAGGAGGAGGAGGAGGAGGAGGAGGAGGAGGAGGAGGAGGGCTCCTCCCTTGCTCCTCCTCCTCCTCCTCCTCCTCCTCCTCCTGCTCCTCCTCCATGGGCGAGTGGTGGTCGATGGATCCCCCCTGAGCGCATCCCCCCCCCTTGCGTTGAGAATCTTGGCCGCCGGGGGCCACAGCTCGGCTCCCCGGCGGCCGTTGGGGGGACGCTCCGGCGGTACCCCTGGAAGTTGCTCTCGGCGAGGCGCAGCTGCTGGAGAGCAATCCGATGCTGAAACCTGCCGAGAGTGAAGGGGAACTGGAACACACACATAAATACACACAAATAAAAATAGCCCCCATATTTTCCCATATTTTCTGGGTTTTTGTCTTCCCCACCACTTCCCATATTTTTGCATATTGTCCTGGGAGTCGACGATTAATTGTGTCTGTGTGTTTCTTTCCCTCCTGAGAGAGACTGCGAGAACGACCGAAAGCGACCGAGATAGCGTGGCCCTGAGCGGGCAGGAGTTCTGTCCAGATCCAGTGCGTCTTGGACTTTCCGGGAAGGGGCGCCGAAAGGCCCCGAGGCGCACTGGGGACGGCTGAACATCCAGCCGCCGCGGGCAGCTGCTGTTTCCATATTCAGTGCGCCTCGGGTTTTCTGGGGAAGGGAGCCCGGAAACTCCAAACTGCAATGCATATGGTTAGGTGGGGCATGTCCCCTGCAGGCGGATTTGGGATGAAAAATCGACCGGCCCCCTTGTGGGGCCACCAGGCTGTAGGGCCAGGGTTTGCTGTTCCCTGCGCCAGTTCCAATTTCCAGTGTTTTCATTATGCCTCTTGCTTCTTACTGTTCCTTGTTGTAGACCGCGCGAAGGGGGGAGCCTCAAACCGTCATTTTTACCACGTCCAGATCGCGTGCTCAAAATTTCTGGGGGGGTCCAAATTGACACCCCTCATGGGGTCAAGGTCCAAACACATATGGGCTTTGCCACATTCCTATAACTCAGTCGCACCCCTCACGCAGATCGGCGGGGTCAGGGTCCGAAAACACAAGGGATTTGCTACATTTCTGAAATTCGGCGGTACCCCTCATACAGATCGGCAGGGGTCAGGGTCCAAAAACACAAGGGATTTGCTACATTCATATAATTCGGTGGCACGCCTCGTGCAGATCGGCGGGGTCACGGTAAAAAAAACTAAGGATTTGTTACATTTCTGAAGTCGGGTGGCACCCCTCATGCAGATCGGTGGGGTCAGGGTCGAAAAATACATTGGATTTGTCACATGTCTAAAAACTCGGTGGCACCCCTCACGCAGATCGGCAGGGTCAGGGTCCAAAAACACAAAGGATTTGCTACATTTCTAATACTCGGCTCGGTGGCACCCCTCACGCAAATCAGCGGGGTCAGGGTCCAAAAACAAAGGGGCCTGTTACATTTCTGAAATTCGGTGGCACCCCTCACGCAGATCGGCGGGGTCAATGTCCAAACACACAGGGGATTTGCCACAGTTCGAAAAGTCGGTGGCGCCCCTCACTCAGATCTGCGGGGTCAGGGTCCAAAAAACACGGAGGATTTGGCACGTTTCTGAAATTCGGTGGCACCCCTCACGCAGATCGGCGGGGTCAGGGTCCAAAAACATACGGGATTTGCCACGTTCCTAAAATTCGGTGGCACCCCTCCTGCAGAGCGGCGGGCCAGTGTCGAAAAACATATGGGATGTGTCACATGTCTTGAAATTCGGTGTCCCCCGTCACGCAGATCGGCGGGGTCGGGGTCCCAAAATACAACAGATTTGCTACATTTCTGAAATTCGGTGGCACTTCTCAAGCAGATCGGCGGGGTCAGGATCCACAAACACATGGGACTTGCCACATGTCCTGAAATTCGGTGGCACTCCTCATGCAGATCGGTGGGGTCAGGATCAAAAAACAAATGGGA